TTCTTCAAAATTATGCCCCACAAAACTGCTACGCCGAAGATCCTAAGTACTGTGCCCTCACTTAATATTCTAGCCTGTGCTCTACCGCGGATTTTGTGCCTTCATATATGTGTAGGGGCGGAGCTCGATGCATCAGAGTCTGATGAGGATATTGCAGGGCGGGCAGTCGTATCCTGTCTACAGCTCCTTGGCGTTCAACTCCATTGACCTTCTGAGCGACGCGCAAGTAAGACTCACGTAGGCACACAGTCATCGGCATTCCCTATCACCGCCTTTGAGGAAACTCAAGTTAACGCCACGCACAGTTGAACTTGGTTTGGTTGATCGTCTCACGCTAACACACATTTTCAATTCAACCCCTTAATTTCTTTCTCCCACTGGTTCGCATATCAGCCCAAGCATGGCGGGTACTTAGTCACGCCCATTTGCCTCTTGGAATTGGGAAGCGAGGCTACTCTATCTCTGGTGCTCTTTTTGTTTAAGGTCCTACTCCCCTTGAGTGCAACGAACCTTTTGCAGTCTTCATTATTTGAGAAGTGGAAGTTTCTATCTCTAAACGCACGCAAACTTTGGGAACCTGCTTGCATTGCATCCTAATTGAGGATGCGTTTTACTTTAAACAGAGGTTCTTCACGTGGTCATAGGACATCCACCTAGCCTGCTATAAGGGAATGAAATGCACTTTTGGCGGCACAGTAGTTTAGTCTATTTAGAAAACATGAATTTCTTATCTCAGTCTAGTGCTTCCGGACAGCAATATGCATATCTCTGTCCTCTGAGCTCCCTCGTGTTTGATATTAAGTGAAGGAGTGAAATATATGAACTACTTTAGCAATAAAACCCACTTTTCTCTTCTCAAAATGCTAGTTTATAGTCTTCTGGGTCTTTACTTACAACAATACAGCAATAAGTGATCACACATCCAGAGGCCCAGCATACCGATAATCCCCCTCTTCTCTTTGTTCCCCTAGGTCACTACTCAACCGCCCAACAGTTCCGTGGCGTTCATCCAATCGTCACAGGACTCAAAACACCAGCCTCCAATGGAGTATTCCGAGGCTAAGGCTGTTTTGGAACCAAAAAAGGACGAAGTTGTCAATTTGTGATCCCCTTTTTGCCCACATCCTCCCATCCATCCAGATATGCGTAAAAACTTGAAGTCAAGCATTGTAATCAACAGCTATTTTCATCTTCATTGGCACGCAAGAAGGCGTGTCTCTTTCAACAGGAGAATACACTTGAGTTTTTCTTGCATAAAGCTATTCTCTTATTGACCGTGAACCGAGGAGGAGGAGATGGGTGGAGTGGTGAGCAAACTCTCCGTTTCGTCAGCTGTCTTTAATGCCTTGATCGACTGCACTTATTTTCAATGTACGAACTGCTAGCTGTTCGTTGAAGTGAGCCGCCCAGCAACAGCATGCCAGAACATGACGCATGCACACGCGGATGAGGGGACACGTTTTTCCAGGTAGGAAGTGATAGTGCTCAAATGTTGCGATTTAAAATACCCAACACACGTTTATTAGTGAGGCACGTTTCACCGGTCCAAATGTACAAAAAATACGGGATTTAACTACTTCTTCCTTGATTTTCTACTTCCGCTCTTTGTGGATTGTTCGGGTTTGAGTGAGGATTCGACGACCTAAGCATAAAGCAGAGATAAGATTGGCTTCGGCTTTTGAAGTGGAAGATAGTGTGGAAATGTGTAGAAAGACATGATTGCCTCAATGAGGGCAGAGGTAAAACAATGTGGAAGAACAAATGTGGTAAATTAGTAGCTGTGGTGATTTTTTGCCTAATTAAATCTCTCGATGGCATTGCATACCGAAGCCCAAAGGCAGGCTTCATTGCTATGGTAAATAGAAAATGACAACCAAGGGCATGCTGTATATCAGTGGTGAACGGCATCACTGCCTTGAAGTGGTATTAACGCCTTTGGAGGAAAAATTATGTAAAAGCATGAGTTTGCTAATAAAATGACAGCTCATTCTGCTTTGAAGTCGAAAGGCGGCTGTGACCCTGCGCATTGAGTATGCCAGAAATGACTGGAGCATACTAAATGGAAATAGCGCAAATCACAGCAAAGCAGCGTCTCCACTCTAGTACGCTTGAAGAATAAAAACTGCAAACGCATAGGTAAGATGAGACAACCTTGCAGGAGGGACGTTTTTTGCTTTAATAAATCCAAAATTTATAAGCAACCGGAGATTGAGATGAACAGAATGAAACGGTTGAAGTCTAAATTGTTTTGGAAATCATCAGTGCATTGGCATCAACCACTAAAAGGAATTGAAATGAGACTCATTGCACAGCTTTTCAATCTCTCAACAAAACTTCGTGCTTAAGCTGGGCGCATAAAACCTAAACGAAGGAAACATTTAAAACATTCATGCAAAGTTTAGACTGAGTTAAGACAAAGAAAGAAAGATTCATTAGCAGAAAGGATAGGGATTTGTTAAATACTCTTTTACGATGCCACTCACGAACCCAATTAGAAATAAACGGTGTTATTACCATTCAACCAACCATTCAATGACTCCCAAGTCGTCGCGATATAGGCACACACCTTTTAGCTTGGATGTTAATGCACTAAAAATATGCAACTCACGAAACGTTGCAGGATGGGGGAGATACGAGCATACACCGCTCTAGCCACGTCGACCGAGATGGCGACGCCATCCTGTTGCAGTGGGGACGCAGGAGTGGTGTAGACGGCGCTCGTTAGTTGGGAGAGCACTGAATGCACAAACACCTTCTTGCGTTGCGTTAACGTCTCACCACTCGTCACCGCGCACGCTCGCTTCTCGGCCGTGGTAAGAATCGACTTGGTTGCCGCGTGCAACTCGGTAACATTTACACGACTGAAAGGAGAGACATTGAAGCTTCTAATTACTGCATAGCAGTCCAGTAATGATAAAGAACTTTACATTGTTGCCATTTAATTTATGGTAGGTTATTTCGGTAAGAACTTTGCAAATAGCCAACATAAAGACCAACTGTCAATGGAAACAACTCAGATTTTACAAACT